TTATACGACAGCAGAGAAGCTTGCGGTCTATCCTTAGTCATTTCGATATCATTGTTTCCTCTTCCTTGGGCTTATATGTATGAAAAGAGGGTCTGAGGTTACGAGATTTATTTATTATCTCATCTATGGGCTATTAGAAAAAATGCCCTTGGTGTTACATCGTGGAAGACATTAGTTTAAAGGGCAATTCGCTGTATAGAAGCAAGTACCGGCGTGCTCGAGATATGGCCACATCCTCTCGCCGTCTGGAGGGCAGGTGGTGGGCTCTTCTTTTTCGTTAACTCCATCAGAATGTCTGGGACATGGTCCGTGTGGAGGAATGGGTGGCGTAGTTTTCGAAGTGTCCATTTCATTTGGTAGTGATCGCGTAGCTTTGGCTGCTGTTTCAGCAGACGCGGTCACTACCGCTGCTTCGGGAACCGAGCAGCTCGCGTACACCGGCCACGGCAATGAGAAAGGGGACCGCTGTAAGCTGAGGCGGCCGGCTCGTGGCAACCGATGCCCTGCCCTCCAGTCTGGGGGACCAAATGCAGAGCGGTAGAGACTAACCTCTTTTTCACTAGGTTCTGGCTCGGCAAAGGTGTCGAAGGGGGCTTGAGATACTAAAGGCTGTATAAAAATGGGGAATCCATGACGTGGATATAACTATGGCGGAGTTCTTGTAAGTATTTTTATTTTCATGAATACTACTATTTAAGGTCATAGCAAATTCAAGGATTTAAGAGCTAGAAGGGTAATTAATTTTCCGTTTTTTCGGTAATTAGTTCGGGCTCTACGCCTTGCTGATATATAACTAAAAGATTTTTGTTCTATGCATGCTTGAAGACTTTAGATTCGATGGAGGTATATTTTACCTAACAATATCAGCCTTTGTCACTTACCATGATCAACTGTGCTTCGATTACAACCAGCGGTTTTGTTCACTATTCTATCTCTGAATCTTTGGACCACAAAATATGCCTCCACCTCTTAACGGCATAGTTATAACCACTACATTCTGCCGGATGAGGCTTAAAAGTTTAATGTTGACAATATGCCCCAGATGCGTACAAAATGGTAGTGAATCTAGCGTCACAGTAGATTTTAATGCGAAATCTAGAATTCATTATTATTCTTTCAAGGTAAAGTCGCTTACAGTTTCTACAACAAGATAAGACCTGAGGCGCTTTTATAACAATCGCACATCCAATAGTTGGGACGATAGAATAGTGACGACTCTTTCAGCTTCACATATGATTTACCATTCGTATAATGGAATAGTTTGCCGTTATCACATAAGGGGTGCAGTAAAGACTGGCTTGGTTGTATTCCTCATTAATACGATACCTTGTTCGCCCAGCTCAGTCCTCTCCTACATTGTACAGATAATATAACTTTGTATCGTATAAAATAAATAAAATTCAACTTGAATCCTGTAAACTTTCATGAATGTACAGTTATGAACAGTCAAACTATATGAATGTCGCCTGAAAAAAATAGGTCCAATGATGCAAATGGGTATCATAGTGTAGAGGTTGGAGGTAACCCAAAGGTCAGCATATGTACCGAAGCTGACTTTGGAACATTGGACAGTTTTTGCCTAATTCTACTCAGCCGGTTCAGCAGCCTCTTGACAAACGTCGGAGCATCCTTGTTGAACACCCTTGTCATTTATATTTTCCATCGCCTACACACTCGTCTATTAATTTCTTCAGGCTGAACGAAGATAGATGCAAAATTACTTCCAAAACATTGCTCCATATTAGGTAACAATGTAGTTGCTGCTCTTATTCATCGCCTTACTCAGGTTGTCCTATGGTCACTTCACAAGTTTGATTTTCCCAAACCCGAATAAGAATGCTCCGCTACGGAAGGTCAGTACCTTTTGCAATAGCCCATTAAGCATGCCTAAATGGAGTCGTTTAAAGTGTTGGCTGTAACTTTGATGAGTTGCAACTCTGTGCTAACGATGACGCCTCTCAATGACGATGTCGACGAAATGTTTGGGAATGTACCAAATTAATGGTCTGAAGCTGGAAGTCACGAATACCATGGCAGTGGACACAGGACCAGGTACCTTCCACAAGGTCTCCTTGGCACTCTGACCAAGTTGCGAAAACGAGGTCTAACTAACACTATAAAGCTAAAGGAGACTGCCACCAAACATAAGGTTACACCAACTTGGTCTTCCTATCTACGATGGCGATTTTAGAGCTGACCTATTCTGGCGTAAATCAAAGAAAAATGTATGACTAGAAATAGCACATTAATTAATATGCCTGCATAACTAGATTCGTTAAGTTTGCAAAATAAGACAAGCTACTGTTAAGCCTCAGTATCCAGCGCGACAGGCGGATGAGATTAAGTTTGCGGGTAGAGGTGGTCAAAATAAACATGTCTTTAAAGAAGGTTTATTCACTGACTAGGATGGACGTCAAGTGTGCAAGTCATGATTATGAATATTCAGGACTTATTTTCCAGGAGTTCGCCCGAGTGATCCTACAAAATGCTCAGCAAAGTCAACAGAGTCCAGAGTTAAGACAAAGAGAGAGGTAATGCGGTTTATCTTTTGGTCCATTATCCCTGTTCTGGCTGTCCGTAGCCTCAATTAGGGAAAGTAAGCAGTTGAAATGTGAACATTTAAAGCTAGTTTATTCGATATATGATATATAAATGATATCTAATAACAAATATAAAAATTATAACTAAATTACAAAATAAAATAAACAGTAAAACATACTCGAATGTATGAAGACCAAGATGGTGTGGCCTTTTGTGTGGTCGCAGTCTGCTTTCGTTGTATAGAAGTAGTTTGACCTTGTTTTCGCAACTTGGTCATGTTGGTTGGAAGACATAGAGGAACGCATCTAGTCCGAAGTATATTGTATGCATTATCCTATCCAGAGTCAGACCATGGACGTGGTACATTCCCAGACGTTTCGTCGGCATCGTCAGTAAGCCTCGCCATTCTTGGCATCACACTACAGCTCGTCAAGGAGACAAGTGAAACCGATCCTTGACCAAATATGTGCTAAACAGTTGTGATATCTCTCCTTCTGTCATGGGCTAATCACCAATCCCATATCCTCGTATCACGCCTTCACTATCAAAATTTTTTATTTGCTTATTTAAATGTAGTGTGGTGTGCCCTTTAGAGATGCTTTCATGAGAACCCTCCACACTCCACGCTGGCGTTCTCATTCACCTTCACCCTTGTGCTGGGAATGTTGATCAGAGTCTGTCATATTGTTAGGCAGTCCTCCTTCCCTAGATGTTATCACAGTCTCTCCGTCTATCCTCTCTCTCCCTAACACCAAGCCTATTATTTGCTATGCCATAGTCTCTTGTTTGCCAAACCACAAACGTTGTGGTTCGACATTGAACCTAATCAAAAGCAAGCAGTACCACAACGTTTGTCGGTTAGCACACAAGAGACTAAGGCATAGCAAGTCATAGACTTGGTATTAGGTGTAGCGTATAGTCAGAATAGGGGTTTGAGTTCAAAAAGGTCACCTTTATATATGTATACATATATATATATCAACTTAAGTATAGAGTCAATGATGATATTGATAAATCTGGTAATGTAGTGTATACATTTTACCTGTAATGGTGAGCTGTGCAAATAAATATAAGAAAAGTTGGGTTTCGAGGAATCTCTTGTTTCATAATTGTTGGGATTACTTCCATTTCGAGTAGAAGTTTTGGGTGAAGAGATTCGAAGGTCGGTTCCACCAGAAGACGACGGCGAATTCATCTTGACCAGCTGTCGATTGGCTTTACTGGAAGATTCATTCTGACGCACGAAAGCTCAGCACGTGTTCACCGGAATCGAAGGAGATTGCCTCGAAAACAGCGTCC